GAGTGTACCGTCTCGATCCGTTTGCCCCACGTCCGGAATGCAAGGTTGCCAAACCTCTGTGGTGTAGGCAACGGGGGAATCTCGTCTATCCATCTGTCAAGCTGGTCGAGCATCCCGATCACAGCAGCGACATTCTGTTCTCAGACACATGCGTTAGCAGGAGGCCTATTCATGCGCAGCCCATTGAGACGCCGGAGTTACCTTGTCTGGTTCAGGATCGCTATACGGAAGCTCATATCCGACAACGCTCTCAGCAAGACGCCGCAGGAATAGCCCGTAATCCTGGTAGCCGCGGGTACGTTTCCAGAGCTCGACATCCTCGTCGGTCTTGATGCGCAGGACTGGCGGTTGCTTGGAGTGCAGCTCTGAGACAGGAATCTCGCGCAGAGCAGGCAGTTCGACCGCTCTGGTGGTAGAATGCGCCATCGAGAAGTCGTTGTGATGATGATCCTAATCAGACCGTGCGCTTTCGTCGATGCTTCAAGCAGGTATTGGCCCGAACGATCTGGATGTCAATCTAGTGTCACTACCCTTGGCATTGTCAACTAGAGCTCTCGAGCATACCTACTTTGTGGAACAGAAGACACAGCCTGTCTGTGTTCCACGTGAGGTCGTTGATGGATGAGCTCACACGAGCCCGTTCTTGGAACGCCACACACGGACTCGGATGAGCGCCACAAAGCTGCGTATACGTCACGTGGGGAGACGCGTCGCGCTCAGCCACAGCCGCCGCCTTGGCCATTCGCCCCGCGTCCGTGTTGGCGTCTCTCCACAACCTTGCGCGCTGCTCTCAGCACTTGGCACCCCAAACGCGACGCGTATCATCTTGTGGTTCTGTTGAGCTACGCAAGATACACTTCGTCGCATACTCGCCGCTAGGACGTTCGCCACACTCGCCGCACTTTTTGCCATCAGTGGCCAAGGAACCCGATCGCCACACCAACAGTTACAACTCTAACATGGCACCGTACGACGATTGGAACAGGACCGAAGATGACGACGAAGAGGAGTTGCAGGACTCTTCTGTATGTGGCTCATACCTCTGCCAGTCCCAGTAGCTCATGCGGCGTTCGTGCAGCTGTACGAAGGCAAGCGCGACGTGGTGCTCTTCTGCATCGACTGCTCGCCCTCCATGTACGAGATGCGCGAAGACGACCGGTTCGAAGACGTGCAGACCTGCGGCCTGATGCTTGCGCTCGAATCAGCCATGCAGATCATGAAGAGGAAGGTGCTCGTCGGGCCGAACGACGCGGTCGGCATCATGCTCTTCAATACGGTACGTCGTCCCGAGCGCCTCCTCTGAAGATGTGGCGTTAGGGTGTCGAGCCTGAGTGCGGCGCTTACACGGGTGCATGTGCAGACGAAGAGAAACGAGAGCGGCGAAGCTGGTGCGGATATCAAGAAAGGCACGTATGTCTACCAGCCTATTGCGACTATCGACGCGCCAAAGGTCATGGAGCTTGTGCGGCTCATAGACGGTGAGCTGGCTCTTGTCGGCCTTCGTCATCAGTCACTGAATTCCGGCATAGAGGCGCGAGAGAACCCAGATGTGCTACGAGAGACTTTCCCTCCTATGACTGAAGGACGCGTGCCCGTCGGCGATGTCTTCACCAGCTGCAACTGGGTTATGCGGGACGGGTGAGTATAGAGTTAGGGCTCGGCTGCAGCAAGCTGATCATAGCGCACAGTGCCCCAAAGACCGCTACAAAGCGGATATTCTTCATTACCGATGAGGACAATCCACATCCCGGTGCTAAGAACGCACGTCTCATGACCTCTGCCCGCACCACTCTCTTTGTAAGGGACAAATTTCAACAAAACTAGATCCATACTGACAGCGCACACTACCGAATGCATCAGGACCTCATGCAAGCTGGTGTAACCGTCGAGCCATTCTTCATTGGCACGGACGAAAAACCGTTCGATCCTACCAAATTCTACTCCGTAAGTCGTCGGCGCCGGTGCCGTGGTGCAAGCTGTCTAACCTCGAGAACTTCCGTGGCAGTCTGTCCTCCTTCCGACGAACATCACGGAGTTGGACGAGATCACCGACGACGGACCTGCGCCCATGCTTCCGGAGTCGATATCCATTACCCGTGTAGAGGAACTACTGGACCAGATGCGGTTCCATGAAGTACCCAAGAGAGCGCTTTTCAGCGTTCCGTTTACGTTCGCTCCAGGGCTTACGATCGGGGTGAAAGGGTACATTGACAATTCAGTTCCTGGGCGGATGAATCTTCCCGATGCTGATCCTCCCACCCCCTCAGATATGGACTCATTACAGAGCAGAAGAAGGGAGCGTACAGGTACTTTGCAGACCTCGGGGACAGGGTAGAGCCGGTCATCTCGCGGACGGCTTACGTTGATGAGGTTCGTTTGAACGTTCTTCGCGATGTCACGGCGGCCGGGCTCATGAGATGTTCATCCGGCTGCCAGGAGCGCGACGCAGAAGCGGACAAAACTGAGATCCTGTACGGGATGGATCTCGGTGCTCCGTCGGTTGAAGGCGAGGACGGCGAGGACGCCAAAGAGTCGGAGGTGGGTACGCGCGCCGTCGCACTCGGTAGCAGGGTGTTCTACACCGCGGAGGAAGTGCGATCGTTCCGCACGTTGGGGCTGGAGCCCGGTGGGTCTCTGCGTTCTCGCGCCATCTGGGGACACCGTTGCTCATATCGTTGCACACCGCATGGTCAGGAATCAAGCTCCTGGGATTCAAGCCCCGTTCAGAGCTAGCCTTCGAAGACAATGTCAAGCATTCGATCTTCATCTACCCAGATGAGATGGTGCGCCCATGTCGTAACCTCCGGGACCGCACCCGGGGGGGTGCCTGGTATAATGCTAACCGCGACCCCCGCCTGACCGCAGTCGTATTCCGGGAGCAAGCGCACATTCACCGCGCTGCTTCGTACGATGATCAAAAAGAAGAAGATAGCGATCGTGCTAGCCCTCACGCGGCGCAACAGCTCTCCCATATTCTGCGCCGTTCTTCCACAGGTCCGTGTTCCACCCACTTCTGCAATATGCCCTGACATGGCAGGCACATTGAAATGACCGTGCTCATGTGACGGAGGAGCTGACCGCCACGATGTGTAGGCAGAGAAGGTGGAAGAGAGCGGCTGGCGAGAGCCACCAGGCTTCCACTTAATCCCGCTGCCCTTCGCCGACGATATCCGGGCCGCACCAGACCTCAAGGGCTTCCGCGGTGAGATAATTGCCTCCTTCCGCTGCAGTCACGAGCTCACAATTCTCTGAAACCATCACTGGGCGGCTCCCGATGTGTTGGCTTGAACTCTGATGATTGACCGATCGGATGAACGCGAACAGCATCGGAGGACCTGCGGGACATAGCTGGACAATGGATTCACAAGCTCAAGGTCAAGAACGGGTCGTATCCACCGGATTCGTACCCCAATCCTGGTGAGTCGGCACAAATGCCATTTTCTGTCTTACCCATCCATCGATGACGGGTCTCTCACCCATGCATCTCTCACATAGCGCTTGCATATCACAATGCACAGTTGGAAGCAAGTGCTTTCCGTGAAGATTTCGATCCGGAGGCGTTTGAGGACCTCACGATGCCGAAATATGACATGATGCACAAGGTCAGGAGTCTACGAATCTCGGTGTCTACTGACGTTGGGTCTCACGCAACAGGCACCTCTACTGTATCGACGCCAACGATCTCGCCTCCTAATGTATTGCACGGTACCCACATTCCCGCGCCGTGCCGTCGCTCGAGCCAGCGTGCAGGCCAGCTGATGCGGGAGTGGAAGACGGCATTGCTGGAAGACGAGACTGCCAACGTTGTCTCCGCACCCACTGCGGGAAGGAAACGTAAGGCGGCGGTGAGTAACCACGCTGCTGAGAAGGAGAATGTGCCTAACCACCGTTCATCTCTCACCTGTCATTCTGTCATAGGATACGGACGAGCCCCCTGTGGACGAGGACGAGATACGAAGGCTACATGACAGCGGGCAGTTACGCAAGGTAAGCCTCATTCCCAAGAATGTCTTCCCCGCACTGTCTCCCCGCTACTCGTGGGGTTTCCGTTTCTCATATCTGTTGCCACCCATTGACTTATTACGTTTCGCAGCTTCGCGTCGAGGACCTCAAGGTACGCTCTGATCCCATCCATGTGACACTGCGGGGCCGATATGGGCTCGCTTCGACTATCGGCCGTAGCGGGGTGCGACGGTCTGCCAGTCAATGTTTCAAATGACGGGCGAGCCTGAGGCACGCCGGCATAACCTATAGCAACCCATTTAATCGCTCCGCAGTCCATGGTTCTGATATTGTTCTTACTAACACGCCATTCGCAGCAATTCCTGAGGAGCAAAGGTCTCCCCGTCTCTGGAAAGAAGGACGATCTCGTCCAGCGCACCGAAGAATATTGCGATGCGCACCCGAGGGCCTGAGCAGCGTGACCTAAATTGCGCGACACGATAACTTCTTCAGGTTGTCGAGTTCCCGCGATAGTCGTGGACAGCGCGGACGTTGCGGCTTCCCTTCCAGAACGCTCCGTTCTCGCGCTGCCAATCTGTTCCTGGGTACTATGGTCACGGCGACTCCGACGCGCTGTATCGTTTCCCTTGCACCGGGTGGCGGAAGCCTCTCGGTGCCGGAAACGACAGATAATTATACTGTGTGTATACCCTCATGTACTGTATCATAATCTCAGCTTCGAGCTGTATTCTTGAGCTACTTTCCCTTCCCAGCCCTCGCCTTCAGACACGATGTTTTCCCATGTGCATGAGTTTGTCTATCGGAGCCGTCAAGAGTTCGTCTCACGGACATTGTGAGAGCTGGGTCATGCCTTACATACGCAGCCTGTGAAGCCCTGGCTACTGTTCCCCACCTGGTAGATGTTGTCCTACGCGCCACATAATCGTTGCTAGTGAATGTCAACTGGATAGGCAGTTCTGTGGGCGGGCGGCCAATAATGATCAAGTGGGTAATCATGGGCTACTTACTATATACAAACCAACTTGCGTGGTCTCCAAGGCGAGATGGCCGAGCGGTCTAAGGCGCCAGACTAAGGTGGTTCATCAGTTGAAATCTGGTCCGAAAGGGCGTGGGTTCGAATCCCACTCTCGTCAAGTATTTTATTTGCCCCTCTGAAAGTCCCTAGCTACTATGCGAGAGCCAAATATTGTAATTGTCGGCGAGAACTGTGATGATGCAGTGATCTTTTGCTCTTCGACCCTCACTTTCATAAAACATTCCTCTGTGCAGCGGCCTTCTACCACAACGTGCGCAGTACTACGTACTGATGATCTTGACCTAATACTGTATGGTCTTCGCTTATACCTTACGGCTTCCAAGTTGCCCGAGTCCGCTGTGAGAAGGCGCACTAACGTCGGCCGCCAGACTATCTGATAAGATATGTTCTCTCACAGTGATTGCGCCATATCTCGCCAACTTTGCTTATCTGATAACATAACCCCGAGCTCCTTCAGTCATCTGTGCTCGCTCAGACTTCAAGCAACATCCGAGTAAACGTCTCTTGATCTGTTCATCTCCTTCTCCACTCATCCTCGAATTATCAGTAAAATGTCCGCTGCGCCAGGAAATTTCCACGAGGTTCAATCACCAGAGCACTTCCAAGCGCTGCTCTCTGAGGACCTAAACCGTGTCTCGCTCATCAACTTCTGGGCACCATGGGCTGAGCCCTGCAAGCAAATGAACGAAGTGGTCTTGGAGCTGGCCAAGAAGTACCCTCAGATTCTCGTGTTGCAGGTATGATCCCGATTTCCGCTCGCAGCGGATGGAGCAAACTGATGAGTGTGAACATTGAACTACAGGTGGAAGCGGAAACGCAGTCCGACATTTCAGAGTCGTTCGAAGTCGAAGCTGTACCAACCTTCGTGATCCTTCGAGTTAGTTAATTAGATCTCTCAAAGTTCAGTCATGTTTGACTCACCATCGATACAGGGGCATACACTCCTTGGGCGGATATCCGGCGCAGACGCACCCGCCCTTACTGAAGCCATCGCCATCCACGTCCGCGGGCCCTCATCCATCAACCCTCAGTCACACACAGATCGCGCGCCAGCCGCTGCACCAGCCTCAGCTCCGGCCGAGTCTCCAGAAGAGTTGAACGAGCGCCTCCGGAAGCTCATGAACCAGGACAAGGTCGTCCTGTTCATGAAGGGCTCCCCCGACCAACCTCGATGCGGCTTTTCGCGGCGCATTGTTGACCTACTCCGCAGCCAAGGCGTGGAGTTCAGCACGTTCGACATCTTGTCAGACGAGAGCGTGCGGCAGGGTCTGAAGGTGCTCAATAACTGGCCCACCTTCCCGCAGCTTATCATCAATGGCGAGTTCGTCGGTGGCCTGGATGTTGTGAAGGAGATGGTGGACAACGGCGAGTTGAAGGAGCTGCTCGCGTGATCAGAAGTGTGGCATACGTATCATGGTATTGTTGTATTTCTTCTTTCTATGTCCTTGCTGTACGAAGATGTTGGAACTTGATCCCCGTTTCCCTGAGTTATCAGCTGTTTCCCTCAATCTAAGACGACGGTTCAGGTAGGTGCAAGACTCGTATAGCTCGAAGGCTGTATCCGGAGGCAAAGGACGGCTGCATCACTTGCCAGCGTACGATCTGCTATCTGAACAGGCAGAGGTAATAATCAACAGTCATGCACGCCGAATATTGCAGCCTCATGACACGGTCCCATACGGGATACACACCGGAGGCTATCGTCTCTGTACGTGGATCATCTCAGTTCTTCCCCTGAGATATGATGCTGACAATGTCTCGTCATCTGCAATAGGCGATGCATCGTATCCGTTACAGTACACTGCGGGCGGTGACTGCTGGCCGAGGCGGACATCAATATGGCGGGCACGATAGCTCTACAGATGCTTGGCACGCGCTCCCGATACAGTACTAATCACCCGACGCATCTACATCGCCTGCCCTCTAAATGTGGGCGGGCACTGCTTGTGGGCGCACTGCGAGTCTACGGGCACGCACAACGCGGGGCACCCCTATGACCTCAACCATGATTATAGCATACTGGTCATGTCATAGATCAGCAGTGGTATGTAATGGAGTCGAGCGACCCTTATCCGGCGCGGTCTTCGTGAGCTGTGTCTGATACATCGTCTACAGGTGACCCTTACTGGGCGACCCTTGTGAAGCTTACACGGACTGCTCGCTCCTGGCAAACTCGCAGTGCCCGTGCATTTGGTAGAACCTGAACCCGTTTCCTACCAATGACGTCCTTGCAGTCACTCTATCCCCCGATTTCATTAGACCGTGAGCAGGTTCACGCTGACCCTCCATTCATCAGCAGCAGTGGCGCAGAGCGCCTCTCCGATGCATTGTCACACTGTACCCCGCGCCCCGCTCGCTGCATCGGTGAGTTATGTTCGTCTCTCATGCCGTCCGAAAACATGCCGCATATATTCCCTAAGCAGCCTAGAGAAAGCTTCAAGGACGCTGCTCGCCACCGTGCCTGTGGTGTCCCGTATGGCTGTGATCGCCGTGCGGAACCGCCTTTTGTACGTATTTACCTGCTCTACGCCGAATGCGCGCGGCTATTCGAGCCCGTTGCGGACGGTGTCTTGTTGTGTCTGAACAACAGGTTCGAATGTACCGGATGGCCTGCTCGGCGATGCTCACAAGGTAGGCAGCGCCAGCAATCACATCCGCCGGGTTTTAAAGCTCTCCTGCTGGACATCGAGTAGAGCACAGTCTCTCACTCACAGAACACTCCTCACAAAGTAACCTTGCACACCCCAACAGCCAACCCATAGGCTAAGCACCAGCATCACCGGCATGTCCACTGAGATCCCCACCACCATGCGCGCCGCGGTCTACCGCCCAGGTCACTTCAACCTGGCCATCGAGGACGACTTTCCTGTGCCCAAGCCCAAGTCCGGAGAGGTTCTGCTCAAGATCGCAGCGTGCGGCGTGTGCCACTCTGACGTGCTTCTGCTCACCAATGCGATCATTGACGACCGCACGTACGTCTTTGGACATGAAGTGGTCGGATATCCTGCAAAGTGAGCGTCTCCTACCTCGAGGGTCGATCGGGTATACTCACGCTCATCACGGTTGTAACGAAACAGGATCGGAGCAAACGTAGAAGACGTCGAGGAGGGACAGCTGTACTCTGTACACGTCATCACGCCCTGCGCGAAGGGTACCGTGGCTCTCCCGCCCATCGAGCAGAGCATTGGCATCGGTCTCAACGGTGGATACGCTGAATACGTCCTCGTGGAACCGCGTCAGCTCGTTCCCGTGGTAAGTGTCCACTATGATTCTGAATTAGCATCCTGGAATTCCTTGGGTCAACGAGAGAGGATGTCTGATCGAACAATTTCGCGTATACACAGCCCGACGGTATCCCTCCTGAAGTCGCATCTGTTGCCGCCGACGCACTCACAACCGCCTTCAACGCGGTGCACAATGTCGCCGGAGTACGTGTCGCTCTCCCAACCTCCTGTCAATGCCTCTCATCACTTGTAACAGCTTCGCCCCGGCACAGACAGACGCGTGCTCGTTTATGGAGTCGGTGGTCTTGGACATCTGGCGCTCCAAATCGCGAAGCACTACGGCGCGATCGTCTAGGCGGTCGACTACCGCAGCGTCGCGCGTGAACTGGCAATGAAGCTCGGCGCAGAGCACGCGTTCTCTCTCTCAGAGATCACGAGCGCGACGTCGACGGCGGATCCGTTCACTGTGGACATTGTCATAGACTTTGTCGCGAGCCAGCAGTGTGCGTACTTTCTTGGTGATGATATCAATGCTATCAGGATGCGGTGCTGACGAAGGTTCAATGTAGCATTTACGCTGGACAAAGCGATGACGAGAGGGAACGGTGTTACCTTCGGTGCGCCACCCAGCAAGATCGTCCTTGTCAGTGCCTCTTCCTCAGATGATGAGGTGCGACATGCTGACAGTTGTATCCGGCATAGACGGGTGTGAGCGCCGAGAATCTCCCGCTCAACTCTGCGGAGCTTCTTGAGTACAACACGCAAGGTTTGCATACCCATCGAACTCAGCTCGCATTGAAAGCTGATAGACTATGCACAGTGCTGTCGACCTGTTACGGCTCAGTAGACGACATGAAGGCTGGGCTTCAGCTTATCGCATCTGTGAGCTTGACTGTTCGGGATACCCTTTTACGGGCTGCCATGCTGATACCCGAAATACCAGGGGGCCGTCAAGCCTGTCGTACACACCGTACCGCTCGAAGCAGTTGACCAGGCCATCAACGATCTTCGTGCTAGTGCAATCGTCGGGCGCAGGGTCATTGTCCCTGGTTCAAAGCACCACCACAAGTGAATTGTCTGCGTGGTCATCGCATCTCCACGACTTTACAGATTCTTCCTCGAGTATCGTATTTGTGGTATGTGTAATTGACCTATTTTCCGGACGTTAACTGCAATTGTATTGGATGTGGTCCCATTATCATGCTCGCGGTTGACTGAGGCCCAGAGGATTATCCCCCAGTTGCCGCTCACCACCGTGTGTGTGGCCCGGGAGTCCTGGATGGCGGTGAACGCAGGGGTGGTCCTACTTCTCGGACGTCTCAGCTTGCCCTGCGCCGAGCACACGCGACTGGATCACCCCGTGGCAGTCGGTGTCTGATTGTGTATGAGTGAGAGGTCCGGTTATACTGGATGGCCTGCTCGGCAATGAGTGCAATGCGGGCAGCGCCAGCACTCACATCTACCAGGTATAAAAGCTCGTGAACTCGCCATCAGAAAAGCACAATGACTCGCTCACAGAACGACCTCACCTCACCAACCAGCATCTCTTACTCCATCCCAACCCCCCTTTCGAATCAGAGGCTGAGCAGACTATCGATCGGAGTCACTGGCAGTCGTCGTCGGTGTCGTCACGTGGAGCGCCTACTAATTGCACATGTTCACAGGGATGGCCTCCGGCATCGGGACCTGCAATCAGCACTCTTCATTGCATGGGGAGAGGATGTGAGTGGTGCGGCCCAGAGCCGGCGAGACGTTGGCTCGGGGAGCACAGTGCTCGTGTACGCGCGACGTGCAGCGCTCCCTCTGCGCGAAGACCTGAGGTTGAGTGTGTAAGACCGTGATGCTCGTCTTGATGCCGCTGTACAGAGGAGGA